AACTCGGCCAAAAGTCTCACCTTGATCTATAGATATCATTTATCTCGATCCATGGGGAGCCATCATCTCAGCACAAAAAAAAAAAAAAAAAAAAAAAAAAATGTGCAGGATACCAAGCCCGGACTCGGCTTGGGAGATGGTGTAAAAGATCTTGAGTAGGACGAACCGGGCGGCATCCGAAGTCATAGGGTGACCGAGCGGGGGATCGGGACTCTGGTCTTAAAATCTTGCCTTGGGCATACAGCTCGCCTGAACTTTATGGTGGTGGAACCCGAGCTGTATCCTGGAGGCGAGTCTCCATGTTGGCTGAGAATAAGGGGGAGACCCGAATTGGGAGCCTTATTCTCAACGGTCCAGGATGGACATCTCAACCTCATGATATGGATGACCCCGGACGGTAAAACCGACGGTATGCATCGAAATTATGGGCTTGGAAGATGGCAGACACTACACGAATTGTGAAACTGTCTTGCAGCAAGAGGTGATTGCCTTGCGAATAAGGAATACCGCGGATGATAACCCGAACAGGTTACTCTAGCCTTCAGGGAACAACCAGTCGACGGTAATAAAACCGGACGGCATGCATCTGAAACATGGTGCTCGGGGACGCAGCAAGCATTTAACATTGATGACTTGCGCGTTCAAGGAACAACCAGTCGACGGTAATAAACCGGACGGCATGCATCTGAAACATGGTGCTCGGGGACGCAGCAGGCGTTGAACATTATGTCTTGTGCGTTCAGGAAACAAAGAACAACAGACGGAAATAAATCGAACAGCTTGCACCTCATCTTTGGTGTTAGGGAAGGGGCCGAACAGCTTACATCTCAATCATGATGCTGAGTAGAGAAAAAAAAAAAAAAAAAAAAAAAAAAGCTACGGGAGGACCCTTGTTCGGGAACGAATCAATCTTTATTCTTCGGCACTACTGACCGGGAATTATACATGAGAAGAAGAAAAGGGGATTACAACAGAGATAACTAAGCTACGGGAGGATCCTTGTTCGGCACGGCATCCGAGTTGGAGTTCGGGGGATTGGCTGAATCTTTAGCCTTCTGCCTCTTCTCCATCACCCGTTGATAAGCACGGCAGAATAAGGGATCGAAACCTTCCTCCTTGGGGTCGAAGGGTTCATCGAATGATTCCTTGATCACCTCCAGATTCCGGTCGACCAGCATATCCTGGCACTTAACAAGTGTGTCCCTTGCTAGAGCATTGGCGAAGGCTGTCCCGGACGGGGTCTCATCCAGGAGCTGGAGGCCGTCACGAAGAGGATCCTTACTCTTCTTCAAGAACTCCCCAAGATGCTTTCCAAGGAACTCCCGGGCAGTCTCCTCCAGAGCTACGTTCAAAGCTTTACCCCGTTGGAAATCAATCACTGCCTGCTGAGTGATTCTAGAAATATCGGCCTGAACGGGTGCTGCTGGCTGTCCGCCCTCTTTAGGCTGGGTCTTTTTGAACTTGACACCAGCAGCTTCGGCAGCAGCAATCTTGTCCTTCAGCGCCCGGATCTCCCGATCACGACGCTGGAGCCTCTGCTCCAATTCGGCCAATTCAGCCCTGGCCTTGTCACCCTTGTTGGCTCGATCTTGGAGATCTGCAGCCATTTTCCTAGCAGCAGCCAAAAGGGTTTGGCTCTCGTCCAGCTCCTGATGAAGGAGGGTCATCTCCCGTTCAGCTGCTAGGAAGGCCCGGTGATAGTATGTACCGGCCTGTGGAAAAAGAAACAGCAGTAAGAACAAGTTCAAAAAATGTTATAAAAAGAAAGAACTGAACGGTCAAAGGCATACCTTAAGGGACTCAGCATGGCCTGCTTCGACCAAATCAGACCAATGGGTCAAGTTGGTGAAGCCCTCGCCAGCTTTCAAAGAAGTGCTGCACCACATGGAGGATGCAGTCTGCCCGAACAGCGTCCGGCATTCGGCTCGGGGACCCATGGCGGAAAACTCCACCGTTAACCGATCGGGGATCGGGAGACTATCTGAAGCAACGCCTCCCCTGTCGCCCAGCTTCCTTGAAGGGGAGGGGACCATGGGCATCCTTTCCACAGAAGGATCCGTCAGGTCAATGACCTGATCGATCGGGACCAAGGCGCCGCTGCTTTCGATTCTCGGCCGCTTGTTTACTGGCCCAGATTCCCGGCCAGCCAAAGAACCTGACTGAATAGCCTTCTCCTTTCCCTTGCTAACTATGGCGGTGGAGGAAGGAGTAGGAGCAGGACGCTTTATGGAGACGGGGGGAATTACACCTACAGGAAAGAACGTAGAAAAATGAACAAGAGGTTGAAAAATACACCGAACGAACAAAGTAGGGGAAGAAACATACCAATGCCAGCAGCTAGCATCTTAGCAGGAGTCAAGAAGGACCGTAGGTTCTTGGAACCGGCCAGACGGAGCCTTTCGTACTGACAGACAATAGCTGCGTCCACCTTTGGGGAGGCATCCTGAACGGGGTAGGTGTTCCACCGATCAGGGAAAGGAATCGGCGACCCCACATGAACGAACAAAAATCGTTCCTCCCATTTCTCCGGCGGGGTGGGGTTGTCGGTGAAGAGCGAACGGCCAGGACGGGCGACAAGCCGCAGGTACCCGGTGGTCCAATAGGGCTGGACGCCGTAGCAGTGCAAAAAGAGGTCGGCGCTAGGGGCAATCCCCAACTCATGACACCAGACGATAAAACCGTTCAGGATCCTATAAGTGCTAGGCACGAACTGTGCTGGCAGTACTGAGACCCGGCGAAGGAACTCCACAATAAAAGGGTGCAACGGGAACCGTAGACCGGCGATCAGCGCGTCCATGTGAACCAGCACACATCCCGGACGATGCCGCATGGGATGCTTAATGTACCCCGCATAAAACTGACGGGGGTGGCGGTAATAGTTGGCGGAGCATCTGTTCGGCATCTGCAGGAAGGCGTTGACGCTGTTTCCTGATGCAGTGGAAGTTCAGACTATAGCGAGGGGGGCGTTCAGGCATACCCCTTTCGTAAACTACAAGGTCATCCCCCGACTGACATCCATCATCATGGAGGGGCTGTTCGGGATGAAGTGAGGAAGAAGACCCGTTAGAACCCGACGATCGGGTAGATGTGCCTTGATCTTTGGGGTGAGCTTTTCCCCTCGAATGGCGAATCAAAGTGGACACCATCTCTTCGGAATCGGACGAACCAGAAAAGGCAGACATAAAATAACAGAGAAGATTCTAGAGAGAGAAAGCTTGAAGGAATTCAGAAGCAGCAGAAAAAACTGAAACAAAGTAGCTACATCCTTATATAAGGAAATGCTACCGCCAAGAATCCAAATGAATAACTGACAAGTGTCAAGACGGTTGGGAGAAGTTAAAGCATCCTTTGGGATAAAAGAACACCCGAACGGGTTGAAATCAACAAAGTTCACGAACCTCTACGATTGAAAAAGAAAAAGGCTAGAGGCGCTTCCCCGAACGGGATACACCAAAATGTAATGAAGAATGATCGGTGTACCCGAACAGTATGGTTAGCTTACATGGAAAAATCTGGCAGATGCAACGAAGAAGGTAACACTACATCCCGAATGCTGAACACAATTACCAACTAAAAAAAAAAAAAAAAAAAAAAAAAATACCTGCGGACATAATTGACGAGGAAAGTACAGGAGTTTATACCCCGAACAGATGGGGAGGGTAAAAAAAAAAAAAAAAAAAAAAAAAAAAAAAAAAAAACAGGTCGATCAATATTAAAATCCTAAATTCTGGACTTAGCGAAGGGGTGACGCAAATCGGCAAATCTGATCGCTATAAACTATGGAGTCGAAACAGGAAGGAAATTTATCACGGTGATAAAATGATGGGCGTACCCGAACAGTATGGTTATCTAACATGGAAGACTATGACGGATGCAACAAGGAGAGCAAAAATACATACCGAATACCGGACACAATTCCCAGCTAGAATGAAAGCTTACGAATGAATGAAAAGGGCACAAGGGTCTTATATTGAGATCATAAGTATAGATTGAACGGGTTCATTATACGCAACATGTGTTAACAAGATTATCAAGTCCTGAATTCTGGATTTAACAAGGAGTTCACCCGAACAGGTGACCTGATCGCTTCAGATTACGGAGATCAACAAAGCAACATGAAACGTATTGCAGAGGCGAATTGATAGGTGAAAAACAAATATGAAGTACAGTAAAAGTCACAAAGACAAGATGAGCAGGCAAAAATTGTATATTCATCGGCTCTACTGGCCAGAAAGTACAAAAACTACTGATTCAAAGGAAAGGAAATACAGATAATGTCTAATCTACTGTTCGGGGTGATCTTCATCGTCTTCATCATCGTCTTCATCAGCCTCATCAACAATTTGCACCACCTCCATCCCCAGGGCTCGCCGGCACTTTTTCATCTGTGCCATTAGGGCGTTCAGGTGACCCGGATGGAGGTCAGAAGGGAAGTCGGAAGATTGCACTGCTCGGCCCATGTGTTTTTCCAGGAGGGGAAGGAGGGGCTGGAGCATATGTTGGCAGCCTGAGTTGTAGACCCCTCGGGCGAGATTGTCAGCCCACTCCTTGGTGATAGGGTGCTGATCAAGCACCCTGATCCCCTCCTTCTGGCGCTCCTCTCCGGCCAGTTTCTCCAGATGCCTTCCGAAAACAGCAGGGAGCTGTTCGGTGGCATATTCTTCCTTGAGAGCCAGAAACTCCTCGGAAGCTTTGAATGAATCCCGAACGGCAGAAAGATCGACTATCATTTCAGCAGGGCCATCCGGGATTTGGGGAGAGGCTTCAGAAAACTTGACCTGAGCGGCCTCAGCTGCCGCGATCTTGGCTTGGAGAGAACCCACCTTGACACGAAGCTCCCCGGCCTCAGCTTCTAGCTTCTTCCGCTCCTCGGCAAATGCTCGCCGTTCAGCTTCCACTGCCTGCTCAGCTGTTTCCTTGGCCATCAGCAGGCTTTGTTCCTTTGCCTGCCTGGCCTCTCTGAGTTTCAGGCTGTATATTCCCGCCTAATGATCAGAAAGTTGATAGGCTCGTTCCGTTCCTATCTTTTCACCCATATTTGGGTGTTAATTTTTTTATTTTTATAATTAACTGAGTGACTATTGGGGGGTTTGAGTGAAAATTTGCTATTTTTCGGTCCCGGTGGCAGTCATATTGGAAATAGTATTTTTTCTACACAATTTGACATTTTTGGAGTAATTTGATTGTAAAGTTACATATTATTAGCGGGTGTGGTGAGTTGTTATTGTACAGGCCGAGTTTGCGGTGAATATGTTTGGACCAGATCATTTAAGGACTGTTTTTGAAGTTAAGTGCAATCCAAAAATGACAAAAGAAGAAGCAATGTTAGCAGCCCAAAAAGAAAAAAAAGAAAAAGGAGCTGGGGTTTTTTTTCTTCCCACGAACGAACAGCTGCAACACACCATCACTTCATTCTTTTTCACTAAGCACCGCAGTTCATTTTCATTCGAAGCAAGAGCAGCCGCTAAGGAATCATTCGTTTCTGTCAATTAGTTTAGCAGTGTTTATTTCCCTTGTATTCACTTAGTTCAGCAGCAATAAAAGATAGCAGCAGGTTTTCTTCTTTACTCCGTAGAATAGCCGCAGCAGCAAGAACGGACTCAGGAAATGCACCAGCTTCACTTTTCTCTAATTTCTTCCAATTCAATTTAGCTTTTGAACAAGGATTGTAAGTGTTCGCATTGTTGATATTACTGTTTCATGCATTTTGGATTGGATTTTGAATTTGTTTATCTCCAACTTATAATTTCAGTTTCTTTCCATTAAATTGACATACGCCAATATTTTTTGCTAGTGCCTTATCATGCTTAATTACATTATTGTGATGTTAATTTTTGGTATGAGTAGCTAATCTCCTATAGGGTTTGAATTGGGGCTAGGGTTCATGGGTTCTTGAGGTGTGGATTTAGTTTTTTTGAAATTTAATTAATCTTCTGGAAAATTGTATAAGATTAAACATAATTGCCTATATGAATTTGATCACCTCATATACGGATTTCTGGATTTAATTCAACTCTTGTCTACGAGAAATTGAGTTAAATTAGCTCGGATCTTATACAAGCAATCTGATCTTAGAAATAAGTTAGGATTGTGATAAAATGATTTTATTCTTGTCTATGAGAAGGGATTTCATTTTTTTTTTGTCCAGGAATAATTAAAAATCAATTTACTTAATTCTAATCCCGAAAGAACACCCAGAACCCGAACCATCCAATTTGAACCCTGTTTTAATATTCTGAATCAATTTACTTATTTTTTTATCTATTTATTTTTGCACTTGCTGTTCGTTAATTTTTTTAAACCATCCAAAAAAAATATTTATTCGGAAAGATTACCATGACTTGTGCTAGCCTGTGATCACGGACTGTATTTAAAACTTCCTTTTTGCCACTCCTTGAGAGACGATACTCGTGGTCTGGTTATTCTTCGGATTGGCCAACTACGTTTTACTCACTAAAAAAAACACCGATCAAATGGCGCCGTTGCCGGGGAGTGGCACGGTTGTTTGTTAAGTACTTTCTGTGGAATAGGTAAAAGCAAGTCGGTGAGACTTTCTATTTTTTTCTGTTTTGTTTGTCGTTTTTGGTGTTCTTTGCACGTGACTAAGCTGCAGGAACCGGTGTATGCACACACGTGCTCGGGGAACTGAAGGCTTGATCCCATTGAATCCAAACCCCGAGAGTATTTTGAGAAGAAGAAAAGGAAGGTCAAGAAACATGGCCGGAGAACAACAGCCCGCAAGGAGGACAATGTATGAACAAATTACTCCGCAATTTGCAGAGGTTGATGGAATAACCATGCCGGGCATTGAAGCTGCAAATTACCAACTATCTCCCGGATTAATCAATCTAGCCCAGAGTAACCAGTTCGGAGGGATGAGACATGAAGATGCCCAGACACATATGCGTTGGTTCAACCGTCTCTGTCGGACCTCCCGAATCAATGGAGTTTCCGAAGCAGCTAACAAACTACTTTTGTTCCCATTCACTCTAAGGGACAAGGCGCAACACTGGCTCGATAGCCACACTTTTGCCACCTGGGATGAATTATACCAAGCTTTCATGAAACAGTACTGCCCAGCATCCGCAGGAATCAAAGCCAAGGCAGCTCTCCAGAACTTTAGACAAGGGAGGAACGAGACATTGAGTGAGGCATGGGAGCGGTACAAGGAGCTCCGAATTAACTGTCCATCCAACATCATGGAGAGCATGGACACCATATTTCACTTCTACAATGGGCTGTCCATTGAGAGCAAAAAAAGAGTTGGATTACTCTTCTAAAACAGGTTCAATCCTAAGGCTGACATCGGGAGAAGGTGAAGAACTGATAGAGACTATTACCTCAAATGAGAGGTACTGGTATGATGAGCGAAGTGAAAGAGCGCCACAGAAGGCAGGATTATATGAGGTCGATTCTAGTACAGCTGCTGCCGCAAAACTGGATGCTCTTGTCCTAAAGTTTGAGAAACTCTATGAAGCTCAGGCGCAGAACCAATACCAAGGTGGCCAGGGGATGAACCAGAGGAGTGTTCGACCAATGCCAAACCAGAATCCAGTGAGAGACATGGTGCTTTCGTGTGATCATTGTTTCGGAGCCCACCTGACCAATTCATGTCCTCAATCCTTTGAAGAGCTTATTTCACCTCAGGAAGTGAATCTTATGGAGTATGCTAAGAAAGGAGAGGGTCCACTAGCACCTCAATACCAAGGAAACCGGGGTAACTTTGCTGGCTACAACAACCAGAGGAATAATTTTCAGAGTGGTGCAAACCAGTGGAGAGATAATAACCGCCAAGGTGGGTACCAACGAGGCCAAGGAAGTGGCAGCAACCAGCCTTATGTGCCCCCACATATCAGACAACAAGATAATTCAGCTCATTCCCAACTAGATTTGGTGCTTGCAGAGCTGACACGGGCTAGAGAAGAAAATGAATTAAGAGATAAAAGAGCAAGAGAGGAAAAGATTTTGATGGAGCAGCGGTTGAGGAACCTTGAGCTGCAACATGAGCAGCGAATACGGGAACTAGAGAACAGATTCTTTGCAGGTCCTTCCGGGAGGCAGTCTGGAAGCCTTCCCAGCACTACAGAGCCAAACCCAAGAGAGCATGTGAATGCAATAAATCTGCGCAGTGGGAAGCAAGTTCGTGAACCAATGGTGGATGCCAAAGAGAGCCAAGCCCAGAGTGTTCCTAGCTGTCCAGGAAAGAGTGCAGAGCTAGAAAGCCCAGAACCTTTTCAAAGACAATCTGAAGGTGAGCTAAAGTTCAATTCTGACCAGCCAGGCCAGCGAGAGGGTAAAGCAATCATCGAGCAGAATACACCCCAACAAGAGACCAAGAGGGCTAATGCACCAGTTGTTCCATTCCCTGTTCGTGTCAAGAAGGGCGAGGACCGCAAGAGAGAATACAAGTTTATGGAGATGATTAGCAAGCTACATGTGGAGATGCCACTCACAGAAGTACTTGCGGAGATGCCTAAATATGCAAAGTTCCTGAAGGACTTGATCACCAACAAAAAGAGGCTAGAGGAGTATTCCGTGGTTGACCTAAATGCAGAGTGCTCAGCTGTGGTGACAAGGATGATGCCGGAAAAGCTCAAGGATCCAGGTTCTTTCATTATACCTTGTTCTATTCATGATTATGTTTTTAAAAATGCACTAGCTGATCTAGGAGCCAGCATCAACTTGATGCCGGCTTCTCTTGTTGATAAGTTGGGACTGGGAGGAATGAAACCCACTAGGATGTGTCTTCAATTAGCTGATCGCTCTATTAAGTACCCAAGTGGTATTATTGAGGACGTCCTAGTCAGGGTTGGTGAGTTTATTTTTCCTGTAGACTTTGTCGTTATGGATATAGAGGAGGATCGTGGTACCCCTCTTATTTTGGGGCGGCCTTTCTTGGCCACTGCCCGTGCTGTTATTGATGTGTCTGATGGTTCATTGACTCTGAGAATTGGAGAGGACACTTGTACTTTTCGACTCTCAGAAGTTATGAACCACCCCGAGGCACAAACTGAGAGCTGTAATTTTCTTCATATGTATGAGTGCATTGAGGATTATTTATTTGGGGGCCAGGGTGAGAGTGATTATTCTCATGATACTGCATGTGGTGAGGTCTTAGATGTGGGTATGTGTGATGATGAAATGTTATCTCATGAACTTAAATGCTCTGTTGATGATTTGCTAGGAGAAGCCTCTCAAGAGGTTTCAGGTAGTACTGTTGTTGATACACCCCCATGTGAGCAGTTTTCTGAGCTTAAAAGGCTCCCAGAACACCTACAGTACGCTTCATTGGATGATGAGGGCAAACACCCCATTATCATTGCTTCTGATTTAGAGAGAGATGAAAAAGATAAGGTTGTGTCCTTGCTTAGGCGGCGTGAAGGGGCCATTGCCCGCACGCTGGGGGATATTAAGGGGATCGATCCTACCTTTTGCACACATAGGATTAGCATTGAGGAGGGGTTCAGACCGACAGTGCAACCACTGCGCAGGTTGAACCCTAATTTGATGGAGGTTGTGAGAACCGAGATTTTGAGGCTTTTAGATGCAGACATTATATACCCAATTTCTGATAGTAGTTGGGTGAGTCCTATTCATATGGTTCCTAAGAAAGGGGGAATGACTGCTGTTGAGAATGACAAAGGGGAGTTAATACCTACTCGCATTGTGTCAGGGTGGCGGATGGTGATTGATTACCGAAAACTAAATGATGCCACCCGGAAAGACCACTTCCCTTTGCCATTTATTGATCAGCTAGTTGAGAATTTAGCAGGGCACGGGTATTATTGTTTCTTAGATGGGATGAGTGGGTACTTTCAGATTCATGTAGACCCTAGAGATCAGGAGAAGACCACCTTTACTTGTCCCTTTGGTACTTTTGCTTTCCGTAGGATGCCCTTCGGTTTGTGTAATGCTCCTGCTACATTTATGCGTTGTATGCTAGCCATTTTTGACAGGTTTATTGGAGATTTCATGGAAGTATTTATGGATGATTTTTCTGTGTTCGGTGATACTTTTGACTCTTGCTTAACTAACCTTGACAGGGTGCTTGCTAGATGTGAGGAGACCCACTTGGCCTTAAGTTGGGAGAAATGCCACTTTATGGTCAGGGAGGGCATTGTTTTAGGGCATAAGGTTTCTGAAAAGGGAATTGAGGTTGATAAGGCGAAGGTTGAGGCTATAGAGAAACTTCCGTATCCAACCACAGTAAAAGCCATCCGTAGCTTTCTTGGGCACGCTGGTTTTTACCGCCGGTTTATACAGGATTTCTCTAAGATTGCCCGACCTTTGACTAATCTTTTAGGGAAAGATGCACCTTTTGATTTTTCACCTGATTGTGTTGTTGCTTTTGATACTTTGAAAAGGAAATTGACTGAGGCTCCCATTCTTGCTACACCCGATTGGTCTTTACCTTTCGAGATAATGTGTGATGCTAGCGATCAAGTGGTTGGGGCTATCCTGGGTCAAACCAAGGATAAGCACTTTCGCCCTATCTACTATGCCAGTAAGACTTTAGCGGGGCCTCAGCTCAATTATACTACTACTGAAAAAGAGTTTTTGGCTATTGTGTTTGCTTTGGAGAAATTTAGACCCTACATCATTCTTTCTAAGGTAATTGTCTTCACTGACCATGCGGCTTTGAGGTATTTACTTCAGAAGAATGATGCAAGGCCTAGGCTTCTCCGCTGGATTCTTTTGTTGCAGGAATTCTATGTGGAGATCAAAGACCGAAAGGGGACCGCTAACCAAGCAGCGGATCATCTATCTAGACTAGAGACTGAAGTGGTGGAGACATTCAAAAAGTTTGAGCTTGAAGAGACTTTTCCAGATGAGAGGCTTCTCGCCATTCAGCACGGTTCAAAGATGCCTTGGTATGCAGATCTTGCTAACTTTCTTGTGGGCAAGGTTGAACCTGCCGGGATGTCTCGCCACATGATTAAGAGGTTGAAGTCTGAAGCCAAGCATTACTTCTGGGATGATCCATACCTGTTCAAAATTTGTGCTGACCAAGTTGTGAGAAGATGTGTACCTGAACAAGAAGGAAAGGAGATTCTAATGCATTGTCATACTGGACCCACAGGAGGTCACTTCTCAGGAGAGAGGACTGCCAGGAAAGTTCTTGATTGTGGATTCTATTGGCCCACCATTTTTAAGGATGCTCATGCTTATGCTTCAGCTTGTGATCAGTGCCAGAGGACTGGGAACATATCCCGGAGGGATGAGATGCCACAACACTATATTTTGCCATGTGAAGTGTTCGATGTGTGGGGAATTGATTTCATGGGCCCTTTCCCGAGTTCGAAAGGGAACAAGTTCATAATAGTTGCTGTTGATTATGTGTCCAAGTGGGTGGAGGCCCAAGCATGTTCCACGAATGACACTAAGGTGGTTGTCCGATTCTTAAAGAAGTTATTTGCACGATTTGGTGTTCCCAGAATCTTGATCAGTGATAGGGGCAGCCATTTCAGAAGTGACCCTATGGCCCGTATCCTTCAGCGATATGGTGTTCAGCATAGAAGCGGAGTGGCCTACCATCCCCAGTCTCAAGGCCAGGTTGAAAATTCAAATAGAGAAATCAAGGCAGTATTGGAAAAGACAGTTGGTCGGTCAAGAAAGGACTGGGCAGAAAAGCTTGATGATGCTTTGTGGGCTATTCGAACAGCATATAAGACTCCTGTTGGCGCCACACCATTCAGGTTGGTTTATGGAAAATCATGCCATCTTCCAGTGGAGGTCGAGCATAAGGCATTTTGGGCTCTGAAGAATGTTGTATTTGACCTTGAAGGAGCTGGAAAGGAGAGATTTTATCAGCTGAATGAGCTTGAAGAGTGGCGTGCTATGGCCTTCCACAACAACCATTTGTATAAGGAGCGAGTGAAGCAATATCATGATAGGCACATCAAGCAGTCCCGCGAGTTTAAAGTTGGAGATCAGGTGCTGTTGTATAATTCTAGGTTGAAGTTGTTCCCTGGGAAACTGCGTTCCAGATGGTCAGGGCCATTTACAGTGACTGAGATCTATCCGTATGGCTCCATTGAGTTGCATGATCCTGAAAGGGGAAACTTTAAGGTTAATGGTCATCAAGTGAAGCTCTATTATGGTGAGAAAGTGAGCACTGAAAGGGAGGTTCTTTATCTTAAGGAGATTAGCGGCTAAGCATGATCTGTCGTCAAGCTAGTGACGTTAAAGAAGCGCTTCTGGGAGGCAACCCACCAAAAAAAAAAAAAAAAAAAAAATAGAATTAGGAATTAATTTTTTATGCATTTGTTTTTATGTTGTCATCGTGTGGTTGTGCGGGTACATTTCTTTTCTTGAGTTGCAGATATGGAAGGGACATCATGGACTGATTGTGGATTAGAAGAAGCGCAGACATGTGTAGAGGGGCTCCTCATGGCTACTAACTGCAGTTCACTTCATAGCAGCCCCGGGAGCGATATATGAGCTGGATTCGAATGCTAGACTTACACTTGCTCAGGAAATGGGGTCGCTGGCAGATATTAACTAATTGATGCAGTTTTCGGATGGCACCATATGCTGAATATGAGGACTAAATCAGCTGATTGACAGTATAATCCCCTTTGCTGGTACAAGACTTTGCTGGTAGATTCATGTTGACACTTTGGTTCTTTAACTGGGTGTAGGTGCAGACGACTTCACAGCAACTTCTGTTTCCAAGAAAAGCAAGCTTTGAGCAGGGTATATTCTGGGAATTAATGCTACGTAGGAGGCATAGTTTCATGCTTCTTTTAGCTTGAGCAGACACTGGACCAGGCTGACTTAACATTAGGGACTCCACTTCATCATGAGGAGTAAACCTCCATGGTAGTAGCCAGAACGCGAGCTAATCCACCGGGCAGCAGTTCACACATCAAGTTAGGTCGTGGGTCATTACCTTGACCCGTTCTCTTCTCCCATGAATGAACCAGTCAGCCTCAGTATTCATCAAGTCATCAGAATGCGCAGTTCCTGGACATGGCAGCTGTTACTACACTTACTCTCAAGATTGAAGGACTTCAAGTAGCATTACGGGGCAGACTGTGTGTAGGATTCAGCGGCATGTAAGCAATCGAGGAGCTATTTGATGCAGAGATTTGAAGTTATTTTGGAGGGTATTCATCAACGTTTGGCTTGTACGGTAATCTGCCAACTCTTACTACATTGCTAAGAATGTGTGTTTACTCTCATATTACTCCTTGTGTTGATTTGTGTTGATTGTTATTATTCTGACTATGATGTGCTGCCGGGATGAAAATCATTTTATTCATAACTTGCCCCTATTATTTCTGTTTTAATCTTTTCTTCGACCTCGAGGGCGATGTCACCCCTAAGTGTGGGGAGGTTTGGTTTTAGCTTGGACATGACATTTGGTGATGAAGTTATTCTGCCCAAAAACATTTTGGAGTGCATGAGGATTTTTCTGGTTTAGCAACGCAACAGAGGTAACTTGTTAATCTTTATTTTCTTTTGTAATCTTCCATCTCCTCCATCTTTCTTGGAAAGAATTAGTAATGGTGTAATCATCGGAGTGGTGTGTATATTCTTGGGAAATGTTGGCATGTTGGATGGTTTGATTTGTGTTGATTAAATTCGGTTTTTACTCGTGATTCACTAGTTCGCATTAATAATTCCTTGACTGGCCAGGTGTTGAAAATCCTTACTCCGTAAGGAGCTCTGCTTTCTAAGCATATCGGGATAACTTCATGCTAAGTAGGCAACTGATTCTTGTAATGGGGTTACACTTCGTGTGTCGAGAATTTCATCCCCGAAATGGGGCTCTGCTCATCTCACGAATCACCTTGTGTGAGAGTTGAGTACACAGTAATGAGATAAACTCCCAGGCCCTAGAGCTTGAATCAGTCCTGCAATCCAGAACCTGGTCAACTTTACATATTCAAAAAAAAAAAAAAAAAAAAAAAAAAGAATCACGAGTATTCCGAGTTTTATCACACAATTCTTGGGTTTTTTGGAATGATTGGTGGTTTGGATTTCACACACCTGCACCGTTGGGACCATCATGCTTTTCTTTACATTTTAGTCGGTTGGAGAGGGATTTTACTTTTGAAAATATTGTTCAACATGTGAATCTTGGTTTCGTTGTTAAGAAAGAAAAGACCTTGTGCAGTCATTTGTTTTGGGTGTGAATGATTTTTGAACCAGGTGTTACATGTGATTATTTTGTTTTCCGTGGGTTTAATGCATTGTTGCTTGGGGGCAAGCAACGCTCAAGTGTGGGGAGATTTGATAGGCTCGTTCCGTTCCTATCTTTTCACCCATATTTGGGTGTTAATTTTTTTATTTTTATAATTAACTGAGTGACTATTGGGGGGTTTGAGTGAAAATTTGCTATTTTTCGGTCCCGGTGGCAGTCATATTGGAAATAGTATTTTTTCTACACAATTTGACATTTTTGGAGTAATTTGATTGTAAAGTTACATATTATTAGCGGGTGTGGTGAGTTGTTATTGTACAGGCCGAGTTTGCGGTGAATATGTTTGGACCAGATCATTTAAGGACTGTTTTTGAAGTTAAGTGCAATCCAAAAATGACAAAAGAAGAAGCAATGTTAGCAGCCCAAAAAGAAAAAAAAGAAAAAGGAGCTGGGGTTTTTTTTCTTCCCACGAACGAACAGCTGCAACACACCATCACTTCATTCTTTTTCACTAAGCACCGCAGTTCATTTTCATTCGAAGCAAGAGCAGCCGCTAAGGAATCATTCGTTTCTGTCAATTAGTTTAGCAGTGTTTATTTCCCTTGTATTCACTTAGTTCAGCAGCAATAAAAGATAGCAGCAGGTTTTCTTCTTTACTCCGTAGAATAGCCGCAGCAGCAAGAACGGACTCAGGAAATGCACCAGCTTCACTTTTCTCTAATTTCTTCCAATTCAATTTAGCTTTTGAACAAGGATTGTAAGTGTTCGCATTGTTGATATTACTGTTTCATGCATTTTGGATTGGATTTTGAATTTGTTTATCTCCAACTTATAATTTCAGTTTCTTTCCATTAAATTGACATACGCCAATATTTTTTGCTAGTGCCTTATCATGCTTAATTACATTATTGTGATGTTAATTTTTGGTATGAGTAGCTAATCTCCTATAGGGTTTGAATTGGGGCTAGGGTTCATGGGTTCTTGAGGTGTGGATTTAGTTTTTTTGAAATTTAATTAATCTTCTGGAAAATTGTATAAGATTAAACATAATTGCCTATATGAATTTGATCACCTCATATACGGATTTCTGGATTTAATTCAACTCTTGTCTACGAGAAATTGAGTTAAATTAGCTCGGATCTTATACAAGCAATCTGATCTTAGAAATAAGTTAGGATTGTGATAAAATGATTTTATTCTTGTCTATGAGAAGGGATTTCATTTTTTTTTTGTCCAGGAATAATTAAAAATCAATTTACTTAATTCTAATCCCGAAAGAACACCCAGAACCCGAACCATCCAATTTGAACCCTGTTTTAATATTCTGAATCAATTTACTTATTTTTTTATCTATTTATTTTTGCACTTGCTGTTCGTTAATTTTTTTAAACCATCCAAAAAAAATATTTATTCGGAAAGATTACCATGACTTGTGCTAGCCTGTGATCACGGACTGTATTTAAAACTTCCTTTTTGCCACTCCTTGAGAGACGATACTCGTGGTCTGGTTATTCTTCGGATTGGCCAACTACGTTTTACTCACTAAAAAAAACACCGATCAAAAGTAAAATATAAGCACATGATAAGTTATCAAGCAAAGAAAAGGAAAGAGTGAATTATGAGCATAAGATAATGAACTACCTTCAGGACAGTCAGAGCAATACACTCCTCGGCCTCCTCCACCGGTATCGGGGGAAGATTGTGGCCATTGAGAAATCCTGACGTGGACCAGATCTGGCTCGCCGGACAGCCACCCCGCTCCAACATCTCATGAGCAGGATCGTAGAGGGAGATCCGCTCGAACTGACTAGCCAAGTCAGCCTGATGGGCAGCCACCTCCTCAGCAGAAAAATGGTGGGACTGCTGGTCAGAAAAAAGCTGATCCATCAGCGTGTCAGCATGAGTTTGCTGGTCAGGAGCAACCTGCTGCACAGGTTCTACATCCCGAACAGGTTCAGACTGCTCGGGGACGGGGGCGGATTGAGAGGATGTCCCCTGATCGGCCTTCCTCAACCTTTTCCTCTTTGTCTTCCTCTGCTGCTTGGGAGGAGAAGTTGGTGGCTCATCATCAAATCCCACAGTGAATAGCCTGCTATCATCCATGGCCGGTTGTTCGGGGTTATCTCCTTCGGACTCTGATTCGCCTTGCTGAGGAGCTGGCAAAACAAACAAAGTGCAAAATTAGTACCGAGCGGTTCGCACATGGATAAACAAAATTGTTTCTCACACGGGAAGGACCGCCCGGACCATGGTACTTGGTTTTCAGTCAAGAAACCCAGGAATACGGGCAGTACCTATCCCGGCTTTAATAAGCCGTTCGGGAGTCAGATATGGCATAATCTGGAAGCAACCACCCGCCTCCACAGCAATGATATCCTGGCTAAGGTCTTCAGAGATGAACGGTTCGGGGGACTTTGGCGGAAAGGCATTCCACTTTCTTGGGATTAGGCCGTTTGGGACAGATACAAAAAAGAACCGATCTTTCCATTCCTTGATGGAGGAGGGAGCCTTGGAGAACAAAATATGACCTGATCGGGAATTCGCGACAAGATAGCCCTGGGCTTGTTGTGGGATGACCGAGAAAAAGTAATGAAACAGATCTAAGGAAGGGGTCACCTTAGCTTCCACGCAACAACAAATAAAACCAGCCATTGCCCGGTAGGAGTTCGGCATTATTTGGGCTGGCACTATATTGTAATAATTTAAGAGGGAAACGAAGAAGGGGTGAAGGGGGAACCTAAGGCCAGCCTTAAGGGAATCAAAATGGACCACGACCATCCCTGGGAAGTGGCGCATTGGGTGGAGCCCCGATTGGAGGCGGAAGTTCACCGAATCAGGAAGTAACATCTGGATTTGGGCCCGGTTCTGGGCCGTGAGCTTTTGGCGCCTAAGCCTAATCAGGGCTAGGTCAAGCTTATGGCAGGGAACGCCGCTTGGAGGACCGGCCTTCATAACTTCCAATTCATCCCCCGATTTGGTGCCATCAGGGTAAACGTCGGAGGAGGAAGAGGAATCATCACCGTTAACTTCCGCCGGAATAGGGACAACTTGCAGCACATCATTGGGGTTTTCCTCTGGGATTGCAGTGCCGGAAGTAGAGGGTTCAGATGAACGAAGGGGTGCCATTCTCACCGAACGAGGGAACTAAACAGTAGAAGGGAGTTCGAAGGATACCTGAACAGAAGCAGCGGAAGAAGCTCTAGAGAGAAGGCAGAGTACTAAGCCGGAGATATCAAATTTCGAAACCCAGAATCAAAACCAAAAGAGCCCATTTATACTCTGTCACGCCGATTCAGCTGCCAATCAGAAGAGGACACGTTTTTTGTAATGATGACAGAGACACGTGTCGCACAGAGAATCCTTCTCAAGTAATCATGACGTTTATCGGAGAAGTGAAACGGCAGTTGCAGATAACCGTCAAAATATGCCTCGGGAACCGGCGGAATGCCATCCGATACTCACCCGAACAGCATTCGGGCAATAAACTTATACTTCCTTATGCACTCACTACCGTTCGAGACATAGGAAGTGGGGGACTAGTGTTGGGATATTGGGTCCAGGCCCAATATCCCTAGGCCCAAATCCGGGAAGAAGCGGCAAGCCCAAAGAACTCCCGAACGGCTTTCGGGATAAAACTTATACTTGGAACATTCTGGGTAACGATTATGCCAAGGTATCAAGGCCCAAATATCGATCGGCGTTCGGGATACTTCAGGTAGAAATTATCACCTATGACGGGGTCCCACACACCGAACCCCTAGACCGAACGGGCAATCAACAAGTGGAGGCCGCATTTAATGCTAGATCATGGCGGCAGCAAGTGGGGGCATGGGTGCTTACATGGCAGAGGTGATAGCCTACCAGATTCGACCACGTGTCCACCTTACCCATCCCCATTTTAGTATAAATATCCATGTTTAGATCATTGTAAGGGGATTAGCATTTTAATACTCAGAGCTTAGCAATATATTTACATCTCCTATCCTTGTAATCTCATATTCATCTACCGTTCGGGTAGTCTCAGTGTAATCACATATTTATTGAATATCGGTAAGCTTCTGAGTTGAGCAAATATCTCACTGTTTTATATTTTATACACATTTTAATCCAACCCTATATACCTACAATATCCGAGGCTTGTGTTGGGCTTTCGGATCTTCGGGAATAAACCTCAACAATGTGTATAGCTTGTTGCTTGAATTAATATAATTTTTTTATGTAATTTTAAAATGAAGTGGATAAATGAACCTTATGTTGCATAAATTTTTTAATAAATGGCAAACATTAGTTTTAACCATTAAATTACAATTTAGGAAAGTCATTTGTGTTACAGCACCGTGTTGAAAATTTTGATTGCATTTTTAAAAATTTAAGAGCTGATTTGCACTTTAGAGCTGACTTGCAGGTTTTAATGGGGAGTACTTTTTTAACTTAGGGGTGGTTTGCGCTATGGGTATTAGTTTGGGGCTAATTTGGTATTTTTTCCAATATTCTTTCCCTAAAATATATGTATAAAGATAGTTGTAATAAATTTATTATTTAAATGTTTGAGTAGTTAATATTTAATGAGTAATTGGAATTTATCACACAATTATTATTCTTAATAATGTCTGGTACATAATAATGTCTCAAGTTTTTTATGGTACACGTACCCTTAAACATCCAAAATAATGTGTGCCTTTTTAAGTAAAATAATTTCATCTTTCAAATTAATTGCTTAGTTTTTGTAATCATCAAATCCAATAAATATATTAAATCAAAATAACGTTCGTCACATGACTGATAATACAATCAAAGAAAAAGAAGTAAACAAAACAATAAAAAGCCTTATGTCTGCTGTCAGCCCTCGAACCAGAATTAGAATCTATAACTTCTGTAGAGGCAATAATATTCGCTGATCGTGTAATGGGCTTAACTGAGTCAATAACCGACAAACCTAACTTTTCATCGCCTGACTTAAATTCTAGAATCTCACTGCTAGAAAATAAGAATACGTCCAAAACAACATGTAATTCGAAAGAAAAACACAAATAGAATAAAACGGAATTAAAACAGAGTTCATCCATCTTCTTCCAAACCTTAGACTTGTTTGCACTCCATGGCGGCGGTTCGGGAGGGGGACGCGCCCACCTCTCATCCGCCACAATAGTCTTGCTTTTGTATTGATTGACGATATCCATCTTTGACATCTCTTGTTGCTGAATCGAAACCATACTCCGCCACAGCTTATATCTTTTCGTTATCAGCACTCGATCTATTGTTATCAAACTGTTAATATAACCAGATAAGCTAACATCCGTCGCATATAATACCATATTCTAATGCAGGGCGGATTAATGATTTAGCTTTTAAGTGTTCAATGTTTTTACAATTAAAATTTTAAAGAAGATAAATATATTTAAATTAATTTTACACATACTTACATGTTTTCTTAAAAAAATTATGTTCATGTGAACACTTTGAAAGATACCAGCTCCGCCACTAGTATAATGTGTCATTTTGTTGGTCATGAACACACTCATTACCTCTAGTTTCAGAATAATTTTGACACAAACTAGATTCAAATCTTGTTCCAAAATTATTTTGATAAATCCTCACACTGATGTTTCCCAGAATATTGAGATACTTTACCAACATCATCATCATCACATAATTATCGTCCAAATATAATACTGAATGGATAAACAAGGGAATAAGTGAATTTAAGAAATTTCTGGATGGGTAACCCTTCCATTATTTACGTTATATAAAATCCACTAGCCACTATTCTGTTTCACCACTTTATAACTTTCACCGACTCTTCATAATTTAAGCGCAAAAACAATTCTTTGTCTCGTTTCCCGTGAATTCTCTGTCCTCCATTTCCGTCCATAGCTCGAGAGAAGAATATCGAAAGCCGCCGCAGAAAATTAAAAATGTCCTCAGAAAGCGGAGAGGCACAGCCGTCGAGCACAATCTCAACAACGCCGCCGCAGAAGTCGCCGGAGCCGGAAAGCCTCCCATGCCCACGGTGTGAGTCCACCAACACCAAGTTCTGCTACTACAACAACTACAACCTCTCTCAGCCCCGCCACTTCTGCAAGGCCTGCCGCCGTTACTGGACCCGCGGCGGCACCCTCCGCAACGTTCCCGTCGGCGGCGGCACCCGGAAGCCTCACTCCAACAAGCGCCCCCGGACCGCCGTCTCCGACCTGCCGTCGTCAGAGAAGTCTCGGGAACAGTTTCGTTCCGGGGCGGGTTACATGGGCACCGGGTCGGGCTGCGAGGTGAACTTGAACCACGCGGTGCCGCCGGAGAAACGGACGGAGAGCTTCACGTCTTTGCTGTGCGGCGGGGTCAGCGGCGGGTTGATGTCACTGAACGGGTTTGGGCTCGGGATCGGGATCGGAGACCCTTCCGGCATACATGGATTCGGGTTCGGGCTGGGCATAGCCGATTGGGCGACGGATCCAGCCGGTGCCGGACATTTGAATGGCGGCGGGTCTGCGGTTTCTGTGCCGGTAAGTTCCTCAAATTGCAATACATGGCAAATGGGCGGTGGGCTCGTCGAGGGCGGTATAGGAGACGGCGGGCTCGGTGGCGATTACTACGGGTGGCCGGACCTCGCCATATCCGCTCCGGGAAGAAGATCCTGAACATAAAAAGAAAACCAACCCGTAATTATAATCCTCTTTTCTGTTTCTTCTTCATAATCGGGTCTACATATTTTGACTAGGTTTAGTGATGCAAGAAGTTGGACGGAAACACCCATATGTAATACTGTTAATTACAACATCTATGTTTAATTAATGGTTCTCAGTTTTTTGCTTTGTTAGTTAATGATGATTATGATTATCATTAGACCAAGTTTTACTAGAAGTTTCTAATTGTTGTAGTTTTTTGTTAATGTAAATGTGTAATCAAAGATCTTTTGTTTTTCAATGAGGAGCTGATAAAAAATACTAGTGCTTGTGAAGAGATTGCCAAAATCTGGTTTTTGGCTTGTTATATAGTGTCCTTATATGCACCATTCTTATGCTCCTAGAAATATGTGTTCTGGAAAGCTGGATGTTGGAATCATCCTTTATGGAGTGAGTGGGGGCCTTGGAGCCAATAAGTAGAAACATTGTAAGTGTACAATTTTGTACATCTGTGAGACTTAGGGCTAATTTGGGATGAGGGTTTGTCCTAGTTTATTATGGCCTATAGGTTGGTTTAGGGCACAAGTCCACTAAATTAATAGATGTAACACTGATCTTAAAATATACGGAGTATTTACAACTGTAACTATTTTAATTTCCAACTTTGGATAAGTTGGATCTTTTTAATTCACTAAAATTTGAGCATATTTTTCACTTTTGGTCTTTTAACTCTAGGACACATCCTTGTTTCTAAACTTCCAAAGAGTGGTGGTCATGTTGGGATTTATAAAATGCAAATTTTTGAAAAGTAGTTATGATTATTGCTCCTTAACTCCTTTGAAGTCTATAGATGTACTTTTGTACTTGTAAAAGCATGTTGAACAAAAAAGAAGGTATTCTATAATTTTCACATTTAAAATAATTTTGTATTAAAAAGTATCATTAGTCAAAGTAGATCATCATTGATTAAAAATCAATATTAGCAATTTTATGGGATAAATAGAGTATTAAATAGAATGAAACGTAAACATACGAGATTACATTACATTATCTCAATACTATGTAAGAATAATAAAACAAATAAATATCAAACACGATTTGTTCAAATAGATTTGACAAAACATGCATAAAATTTAATTACAAATTGCTTAATATTTGATTAAAACATACACAAAGTGCAAAATTATGATTAAATATGTTTTGTTCCTCAGATAGGACTTATTTAGTCTTATTACAACAATAAATTGATAAAAACTTTCTGAAACAATGAGTCAATGTTTTAAGACAACAATAAATTGATAAAAACTTTCTGAAATAATGAGTCAATGTTTTAAGGAATAAAACAA